ACCTCTGGTTGATGACACTTGCTGGCTATACCCAGAGCTTGGCTACTTTAAAGCTAGTCACATGACATTCTAAATGTAGCCTCTAGGTTAAAAATAATGACCACAAAAGGATACCAGTCAAGAGACAGAGAACACTGTATTTTGACAAGGCAGACATTGTTCTACATGCAAATAAAGACAGAGGAAATCTCCAGTTTCTACTAAAAACTGCTGACACAACTCGAACATCATTCTGAATGTCCTGGAACTTAAATTTTCAGATGCTTCTTTAGTCTCCTACCTTACTCCTTTTTAATGACTGTCAGTCAGCATATTTATTTTTGGAAAAAAATATTTTATTTTTGTGGGGGAAGTTGAAAATTTTCAGAACTTTCCCACCATCTCTGTACTAGTTTTAAACATATGGAAAGCCTACTGTGAAAACATTTATAGAACTTTTGATAAATCTTCCTATTCCACACATATATATATACAGGCATATATATGTTACATTATATTGTGTTATATTAATATATATATTAGAGAGAAGATGAGAATAGATGCAGGTCAGGTCATAAATAAAAACAGAGGGTCTGTAAGGTGGGATGTCTTACTGGCTCGAAGTACCAGAGGCTGGAGAGTAGAGAAAAATTATATGTTATAAAATTAAATCAGAATTTAAAATAAATTAACCCATTTTCTCTTAATCTAAGATTAATTGTATAGTTACAGCCACTCATTCCTCCATTTATTAATTTTCAAGCATTTATTCCACTATTTTTTGATTCAAAAACATTTAAAAATTGCCTGTAATGCATATGGCATACGGCTAGGCACTAGTCTTTTCACACATTCTATCAGGACATCCATATAATGTGTTCTGATTGGGATTAATAAGACACAAACTGCATTAGAAATCAGTGCTTACAGACTTAGTTTATAGATACCAGTTTTGTCAAAATATAGTGATTATTGATTGAATTATTTCCAAATAAGTGCATTCCTACAGTTATTAAAATAAACATAGAGATAGGTAATAATGGCATACAGTTTTGATAATAAAAGGATAATAAAAGGAGAGAAACTTAAACGTAATTATCAGATTTATATATCAAGTATCTCAAATCATAGGAAAAAGAGATCTGTTCCTAATGTGGGGAATTGGGGTGGGGTTCAACATGAGCAATGCTATATATTTAAGGTAAATTTTGACAATAACAAATTTATAATAAACTTGAATGTAATTAGATATTTTTAAAT